GCATTTATATATCTGTTGCTGGGATCTGGAAGGAGTCCACATACAAATGCATATTAAAAATGCATAAACATCTCCGCAGATGATTATTATAAAGCTGATGAAGTGAACAGAAATCATATAGCCATACATACGTACTGACAAGCACATTGAGGTATATATAGCTGTAACTAGATTAAATTTATAATGTAGAAAATCAGCATCTTTACATTCTATATACCATTTTATTATTATAGCATCATACAAAAATTTCAAATATTGATTCTGATTTACAGAATTGGTGTATTAGTTAAAATTATAGATCCTCAGTGTTCCTGTTTTAAGCTAGGAATTGCTGAAAATCATTAACCTTTAAATATATAAAATTCCTTTGCTGTATCAGAAAATAATTTCCAGCCATGCAAAATATCAAGCCTGTTAAGGCCTTTGTGGGATTAGAAAGCAGTCTCCTGTAAGATTTTAGCAGTCAGGTGTGGAAAGGGTATGGAGCGAGTGTTACTAAGGACTGTTATCCAGATCATCATACCTGCACTTGGCAGATTTTCATAGCGCTGAGCTTAGAAAAAATTGGAACCAGAACAGATGAAAGCAGTAGCTTCATTTTTCTCTAAATGCAGGTGTGCAGTATTTAAAATACAGAAATGATAAAATCTTAATTAACATGGCAAACTAACAGAACATTTTCACTTCAGTGGTGCTTTGGTTCTTATTCAGATATTACACATATAGTTTGAGCTATACACATGTTCTTAGTGCAATCAAGCCCAGGTTTTTAACCCAACTTAGCTGCTGAGGCAGTTTAATGCTAAAATTTTTTGTTACAGTGCCTAATCATCCCCCTAAAATGAAATTTCAGATTAAATCATATATAATTATAATCGTTATAATCTTCCATTAACTTCCCATTCTTCTTCTGTGAGTCCAGAATGACAGATACGACAATTCCACAGGAAGGATGCAGAGAAGGTTGGTTTATTACAACAGAAAGAATAAGATCTGTACTCTGTAAAATTCCTAATGGTACACACGGAATGACCACAAGCTCATACTTGGGCCATGTTAAATTTGTAGTAAATGGGATTCTCTGGATTGTAGTTATTTAAAACACTTTACTTGTTGCCTCTAGTTAAGAGGAGAAAAAGTTAAATTACAGTTTCAGCCCTTCAATAGCTAAGGAACCGATGGTTGTGTAGTCTGAGAAAACAGTTACCTTTCCGGCTGAAGTGGTCATACAGCAGGAAGATGGCAGAGATGCAAGTTGTTTGAATGGTATCAAGTAATCTGGAATACAAGACTGAGAGAAAAGTAAAAGGAACTAGTTGAAAAAGGTCTGCTATATCAATGTCTGTATGTGAGGCACTCACCAAGCTAGGAGAAATACCCTTTACGCTGAATTTCTTGGATGATCATTTTAATTATAAGGGAAATTCTCAAGACAAGTAAAATATCTGCTTAAAAAAGCGTATTATTACATTAAATGTTAACACAAGGTCAGTGATAATCTTTCTGTTATATTCTTTCTGAAAGCAAATGACACAAAATAGTATTTAAAAGCTGTCTACTATGTCAAAATATAAGAGTCAAAACAGGAACGATCATAAAAGAGGAAATAAGAATCAAAGGGAAGTCACAGAACTGGTGCCACCTTGTGCTTTCTCGAGGAGTAATAGAGAGAGATAACAGCACATTGTCTGTGCTGGTGAATTCCTTCTGAGTTATGGAAGTTATAACCCAGAAGCTTATTTCAGTGAGACTTAAGCACATAATATTCTGGGGATTTGTGTCCAAGTTCCAGTAAGGCAGTCCAGCTATATTTTGTGTAGCATACTATGAGAACATAGCTCTATCTGTATCAGTACAATGAAGAAATCAACATTCTTTGTAAAAATTTCAGATTTCATTGTGTCTTAGAAATTGCTAATAAAAATATTTGTAAAGAACTCTATGATGGTCAGCTTGAAGAGCAAACAGCAGCTCCTGATCTCCCAGGTTTTGCTTTTATAGAGCCCTATGAAGCAGATGAGCAGTATCCTGACCCTCTAAGAAAGTTTATCCTCTGGCTAAGGGACAAGACCAAGTGCAGACCCGTAAATCATTCTCATTCTGCAGAACCAGGGCACAGCAGCTCTATGGCAGCCTCGAGGTTACAGAAAGTCCTGTGGAAATCACCACTGCTTAAACGATGATTTCTCTCTCCCTTTAAGGGTCCTTCCCAGCACAGAGCTATTCAAGTCAGGACTCACCCCTCTGGGCAAGTAGCATGGAAGAACAGTAATCCTCTTATAGGAAAACAAATCAATGCTAGCAGTTTAACTCTGTTCTCTATGTTTGCACAAAACAATCCTACTTGGTTAAAGCAGTTACGCTTTATGCTCACACTGTATAATCATGAGCTGAGACAATGAACACTTGTCCTTCATGCAATAGCAGCCAGATGTATCTCTTTCCTTTTGACAGCTTATGATTTTTTTGTAATGAATAATGAGAGCCAATTTAAGTCAATCTTTTCAGGGTAGTGAACAATGAAAAATTGCTTCAGTACAATTTAACTAGGGGATTTTTTTCATCCTACAAGCTGGAAGCAATTTAAACAAATAAAGCTTAATGTAAACAAAATAGCTTAATGTAAACTGGAAGATTCCTCCATTTCTCATCCTGTGTTTGCCATTTTCACTGCAACCTTCTGTTACACATTTCTCCTCTGTTCTCTGTTAAACATATGAGAGGTCCCTTTCTCCATAAGCAACCCCATTCATTATTTCATGATATTATATGGAGAAAAAAGAGATAAGCAGACAAATACTTCAGATGAAATAAATTTTGAGATAAAACTTGGGTTTGGCTGAAGTATAGATTAAGTCCTAACATTGCCCCAGGTTTGGAGCTAATATATAACAGTTCCACATGTTGGGGTGGGCAGTGGAGCCATCGCTACTCCCATATCCTGTTTCTTCTTGGACTTTTGACTTTATACAGGAACGTGGAAGGGAAACTGGCACTACATGGTGTTGAGTAGACAATGAAAGAAAATAAGGGTATTTCAGCTTTTCCTAAGTCCTCTCACTGTGCGGAAGACACCAGCTGCTGGGTTTTATGAACACTGAGGCACAATCTTGTCTTAGGAGCTTTTTTTTTTTTAGCTCAGAGAGCACCGAAACTTGCTTCTATATTTGTACAGTAAAAAGCCCTGGCTCTGGTTTCACTCTGCCATGATGATTAAGAAAAATACCTATAGTTTCTATCAGGGATTTTTCATGGCTCTTGAGGGTGTCAATAGCCATGTTAAGGAGGGAAATTTCCTTCAGTCCCTTCCTTCATTTCCTTAACTGCTCACCTCAACCAGCTCAACTAGCATTTGAGTGAAGATTATCAAATTCCATGCTTCCTTCACCCTGCATTTAATGTTATACAGTTCCATTTGGCCACAGAGCCTTTTCAATGTATGTCCAAAACAATAACCTGAATGAATTCCACTCTCCAGGTGCAGTTTTTCACTTACCAGCTTTATCTATGCAATTTATAAGGATAGGTACGAATATACAATCCTCTGCTGGGACGTCCTCTACACGATATACAGTATTTTATGATTATCAAGCAAAAAAAAACTTGATAAACATGTTTTCAGCATATTTGGCTACCGTTATGCAAGTTGAATAATTAAACAGACCCCAACAGCAGGATGCTTAAGATACAAACTACTTCTCATGAGTAAACATTGCATACTGAGGTTCCTATTGTCCTTTACTAAGCCCTGTTAGCATTGTTTTCATAATTGTATGGCTAATTGTTGCAAGCTTCACAAGATGAAATACCTGTAAAATATTGATACCTGCACTGGAATTTCAGCGGTACCTGCAATTTCTACAGCAGTAGGGATTCAACTAGTTATTTCTTTAATAGCTATTATCCATAGTTATTGCCAAAATTCTATTGCTCTGCACTGAATATTTCTTCATTTCTCATTTTGCCTCAAAAAGTTTCTTTTCTAAAGTTAATATTCATGCCTTCTTAGCATTAAACTAGTGATGTTATTTACTTAAATGACATTCAGCGTCAAGTAAGCTCTGATACCCTGCTGCATTTCCCCCTTTGCAGCTATCAATATGGTCTTTGTATTTTATTTTTATTTTCCGTTATCAATGCAGTAGTAAAAATAACGAAGAAAATCATATTATGGCCAATTAAAGCATAGGCCCTATGGCCTTATGCCTAGGCTCTCGAGTCGCTCAGTTCTTGATATCATTTAATGAGATGCTACTCTTCACTTTTACTTAAAAAGTGGTAAAGTTTCAATAATGTATCCAGGCATAAGAAGTAATAGGGATGACTTCCAGAAGTTTGAACCACTCCACTCATCTTTTCTATAAAAATACTCTTCATTAAGACAGGACTATCTATAGAAATTAAGGTGACCCCACTTGTATGCAAGCTAACTTACCCTAAGTATAAGATCCTCATGATATCTGAACAACTTGTCTTCCTCATACGACTGCACGGCAAAGTACTACTCATACAATTTTGCAATTGTGAATCAAGGCATAGGAGGACTAAGCGGTGTGTCTAAAATCATACAAGGAATGGAGAGAGAAAAGAAGAGAGCTGGAGCCTCCTTTCAGTGGGACAGGCTCTCACTGCCTAAGAGGGAAGTGGGAATGCTTTTGCCAGGAGTTGAGCAGAAAAAGGTAATACCATAAAACTCGTTCTATGCTTCTCTCATTTCTATCTCAAGACAGAGCTACTGTCAGGGTACAGTTACATGGCATTACATGAACTGTACATGGAGCTTGGATTTCCTTACCTTATGATTTTTTTCAATTGCCCTGAAATGCATCTTTATTCTTATCCATTGTGTCTCCACTAATACAAATAGGTATCGTGCTGGCATTCAGTGAAGTAATTCTTCTGTCAACCACAGATGGGCAGGGGATTACATGGCTAAGAAATGAAATAAAAGCTAAATCTCTATGCTTGATAAAGCTTTGCTTGTTTTCTCTTTCATTCAGGATTACCGAGTGAACATCTTTCTCCGTCAGAATTGGAATGATCCACGCCTTGCATATAGTGAATATCCAGATGACTCTTTAGACTTAGATCCATCCATGCTGGACTCAATTTGGAAACCTGATTTGTTCTTTGCTAATGAGAAAGGTGCCAACTTTCATGAAGTTACAACAGATAATAAGCTGTTGCGAATTTTCAAAAATGGAAATGTACTTTATTCCATCAGGTGAGTCTCTAATCAATTTTTTCCAGATATGAAGCTTAAAAGTGTACCTACTGTTAATAAGCTGAAAGAATTGTTATTAGTTATCTTAGTTGCTAGACATGCCGAACTGTCACTAAAGTTAGTATGAGTTTTGAATAACGAATTTTATCATCATTACTGTTCATTATTAATACTAAAATAGAAAGTGATCCCTAATTAGCTATTATTTCCCACAGTAAAAATAACAAGAAAAGTATCACCCACATTTTAAAGAACAGAAACGAAGCTCAGACAAGCTAGGAGTTTTGCACAGAGCAAATACTCCTAGAGTATTATAATCTGAGAAGGCCTGTATATAAGTTCAAGTTCTTTCTTTCATACATGTCCAATGGCATGACAATTCACTGTTATTTCTCTCACCATTTTGGATGTTGCTTTTCAAATATGAAAATGGCACCTGTTTGAGGAAGCATGAGATTTAAAGTATAGCTCACTTATCACTGAGGGTAGGGGGGTGGAAAGTAAATTTTTGAAAAGTTGTAAGAAGCTGTTAGCAATAATCATATATAAAGTGTAAGTATTGACAAAATCGAATTAATCTACCTCTTTTCTCTTCTCTCCACTTTCCTAGTATTAATACAGACATCACTAGGCATTCTTACCACTGCCTTGAAAAACCTGGTCTAATGAGAGATGCACTTGTTGTAGGCATAGTAATGCCCCATGAGATAGGATTTAGATTTGATATTAATACAGTGAACTGTTCGTGCAAAATGCTGTACTTTTCAAAATAAATATATCTCAGAATAAACGTGAGTTTTTTCTACTTAATATTTTATTTTGCAAGCTTTTATGATACTGCAGTAATGGGCAATTCAGCTCTTTTGAAGAGACATCAGGAGTCTGCAAATCAATTTGTACACTAAGAAACAAAATAGAAGTTTGTGACTTGCATGGATGTATCAGTGGCATGACAGTCTCCTTCCTCCCACCTTCCAGTGCAAGTGGGCAGCGTCTTGTCAAGCTTACACAAGGAGAAAGGGTTTGGCTAAACTTCCTAGGGGCACTTCCTATCCAAAAGGAGGTTAGCACTTCCTATCCAAAAGGAGGTTAGTCTGCCAGTCTGGGGACATAAACATTCTTTAGTGTCATAACACTACAGACTGATCGAGAATAAGCAAAAAGGACTCCTTCTCTGGACCAAAAAAAAAAAAAAAGCAGAAGTAAATCAATTGTCTCCAGATTACCTAGGTAACCCTGAAATGCACTGGCAGCTATACCACTTTGCTCCATGTTGATCAAATAACTCCTTCTCCTTGTGCTATTCCCTCCAAATATACACAGCATACACAGTAGAGATATAACCACTCAGATTGACAGAAGTTTGGATAGCAACCTCAGTATAATTTTAACTAGGTTCATAGCCAATGTGAAAAGGAATAAAAACACATGCAAAATATTATCATACTAAAATTATAAAAACAAACATTGGCTGTGATGATAGCAGATGCCAGATAGTGCCTGTATTTCTTGTGAAGCCAGAATGTTTATGTTGCCATGATTTAATTAAGAAATGTTATCAAGATGGCCAATTTCTGAAAAATTTAAAATTGGATAATTGGCATGCAGTTGAATTGTGAATTTGAGTCGGTTTAGCTTTTAATGAGGGTAGACATGCAAATTGCTAAAGAGCTAACATTAAAAGAAAAAAAAAGGAAAATCCCTAAACTATTGCTTTTCCTTTTCGTTTCCTAATCTCTCCGCCCCCCCCAATTGCATTTGAACAAAATATTCAGACAAGCAAACAGTGAGAAGGTTCAAATTCCTGCTTCAATAAATACTTAATAAAAAATACTAAAATATTTATTGAAGCACAAAGCAGAATCCAGGTGTCTCTTCTTTCAGATGACTTGCCTCATCATGATACTAGAGAAATCTGTTATGTGAACCTAATTCCTACCAGTCAGAATTTGGAACTATTTCAGTAGGAGGCAACTAGTTTCCTCCTCTGACTCTCCCCCTTCAACTCTGTCACTGGCAAACTAAACAGAAGTTATAGCAACAAAGGAAGCTTTGGAGAGGGGGGAAATGAGGTAAAAGAGTGAGAAACAGCCATGCTTGCTACTTATTGCCCACATCATCATCCATCTAGGCCCCATGCCAAACACAGGAGAATGGATTTAAGAGAAGGGAGTAAGAGCACTGCCATTCTAAAAAAGGATTTATAAGTAAGGAATTAAATTTAAGCCACTCAGATTTTTGGAGAATATTCTATCAGCTGAACCAACAGATAACTGTGGGGGAAAACTTCCACGTAAGGCATTCTCTAGCAAGAAGAAAGGTGCAGTCACGGGCCTAAATGATGAATAGGAACCCAGCATTTCTTAACATGCCCAGTGAAGGAACATAAAGGCTTTACCTCATATGTTCTTCTTTCTCATTTCTCTGAGAAACATCACTCTGAGGATGAATTGGTGTATTGACACAGAAATATCAGGGCTAGCACAAAACACAGCTGCTGTTCAAAATTTAAGGCATATTTCAGTCTACCAATACTCTAAAAAGTTAGCTTAAACCTTTGTGTTGACAATATAAGCACCTTATTTTAGGACAATAACACATAAATTACTTCGCCAGCATGATTTGCAGCTGACATCTGTTATGAAATTCTTGTAAATCTCGGTAAATTTTATGTCAAGGATTTGAAATACTGTAAAAGTACCATAATTCTGCTCTAACACAAAAAAAACATGCTGTTATTGCATTCCTTTAGACTTCCCATAAAGTTAGGCAACCCTGCTGAAAAACGTATTTTTCTGAAAGTCTGTAATAACTTGGCTTTCTGCATTTTCCACAATTTTTGTCATCGTAGGCTACGGGAATGAAATGGGTTCATCTAATATCTAGTTTTTTACTGAAAATTTGTGTTTTCTTCAGCTTCTAATAACTCCCAGTGTTCTGATGCTCCCTTCTTGGGCATATCTATGGTATTTTTGTGGTACATTTTTAATATCTGTTTTGTGTTCTTTCAGATTGACTTTAATACTGTCGTGTCCAATGGATCTCAAAAATTTTCCAATGGATGTGCAAACATGTATAATGCAGCTGGAAAGCTGTAAGTTTGAGTAATGTATTCTCCTATAAATACTTTTGTAGAGATTTCAACAGCCACCCAAGGGATAAAAAGACACCCAATAGTGAGAAGAGAACTAACTTTTTTAAAGTAATCACCAATTTTATCAAAAGAATCGGTGAAGCACACATAGTTTTTAAAAGGAAGAGACACTTCTAACCATACTTGCATTGACATTCAACAGTTTCAGGTAAATATAAAGCTACTACTAAACTTAAGTACTCGGGGTCAGAGCTTATCTTTATGCAAAATTTATGCATAGAGAGATTCACCATAACTTCTTCCCTATATTCTCACGCACACATACACCTGTATGTGATCAGGGGGACAGTGATATTGGGAAAGTGGAAAGGAAATATGAGAATAATTTAAGGGAGTGATTTATCTGACTTATGTGAAAACTCTGAAATGCAAAATAACTTGGGATCCTTAAAAGATGGAGGAAAGGTAACTCATACTGAGTACCAGCTCTTCTAATTTTTGTTCCTGCTCTTCAGCATGCCTCCATGTTATAGCTATTTATCTGTAGTTTTCATATGATCATCCTAGAAGGAATTGCGAGGAGCACTTACTGCAAAGAAGAACTGCAGAAAGGTTACAGAGCATGTATACATGTACATATATACATACACATGTACCTACACATCACATGTGCTTTACACAGCCCTCACCCCCTCATTTCTCCCTCTCAACGGAGGCAGTACCTTAGGTCAGTGGAACACCCTCCAGAAGATCACAGGAAGGGCTACAGACCCTCAGGTATGAGGAGGTAAAGTCCATACCAGGTCCCATCCCGCTAGGGATCAAACGATGATCTAGCCATTAGCTGTAACACTGGCAAAATTTTTAGCATCCTCAGAAGGCTGCCTGGGCTTATGTGATTTGTAGTTGCACAGATAGCTTGACATTGAAAATAGCCAACAAAACGCAGACAGAAAAAAAAGACCTGATGGCCTTCTAACACTGAGATGGTCCAATGGTTTCCCCAAACCCAGTGTTGCACTCTCAGTGGGAAAAAGAGAATTACTACTCCAGATGATATAAACACTCTCTTCATAAAGTCCTATTTGCATATACAAATATCTTGAGGAAAGCAGAGGGGAAGGTAAAACCAGATTAGAAAGGACAAGCTTTACAGAATTATCTTTCAATTAAGAGCAACACCTTTTATGTGAAACAGAGCTAGCATTTGCTAATTCAATCCACTGTACACTGTACTTATCATCTACCTTGAGATATCCTTTAAAACAGAAAATAGGACAGAAAGTGTACAGAAGCTATGTCATTTCAAGGCCACCATGCAAAAAAAAAAACAAAGCCAAAGTTTCTGTCTGACGTTAGGACCTGAGCTAGCACAGTATGTGTGAGGAGGAAGGCACAGTATGGATATACATTAAATTCTCATTTTCCTTGCGGTAGGAAATGTTTGGAAATTGCCTTTTCCCTTTAAAGGGAGATAGATTCCTAGCAGAGAGAACCTCCTAATGGTGCAAAAACTAAAAATAATAAAAAATGTTCTCTGAAAGATTTTGGCAATTTTGGAGTTTGTGAAAATTATTGATAGGAAAAACAATCAGATAAATAAGTACCCATCTTAATGGTAGATCTAGATTTATAGTTTTAGGATCAGTAAGTAAAATGTCTCAGAAAAGAAGTTTCTGCACACAGAATGAGCATACTGGGTTGTCTGAAACAGATCACAAAACAGAAATACATCATTTGTAATTTGATTAAAATATTTCTTGCCTTTCTTTTTAATGGAACAAAGCAGGGATAGAGAGAAGTGGGAGGTAATTATATGTCAGTCAGTATGTCAGAAATGTTTGTTGTATAGATAATGATATGCTTTTACAAAAAATTGCAGGGTGAGTATGGAAGCCAGATCTATCTTTCATTACAATTGACATATGGCAATATTACAGAGCAGGCTTTTAATATGGGTCAACGGCTGAATACGACAGCAGAGATTTTTCTCGACAAAAATTGAACAGTTATTAGTTCCAAATGTCAAGGAATTTAAGACAATATTATATATTCAGTATTTAACCAAAACTCCACGTTAAATCCAAGGAGAGAATTCTACTGATAACCAACGTCACCTTCATAATTAAGGTGACTAAACAAAAGGTTAATAGGAAGCAGTTGTGTTAGAGCATATACGTATGGCAGGTACATTCACTATATACAATTATGTTTCGAACAGAAGGTATCATAACATTTGACTGAACAAGAAAAGATACAATTTTAAAAAATGTGTTTAGAAAGTTATGAAATAGTTGCTTTAACAGCTTCATAAAACTCAGCTGCATTTTTCTTCTCTTTCAACCATTTTAAGGGCAGGTCATACAACAACTAAGCATTCTTGAACAAAAGAGGCATCTGTTTTGCTTTACAGAAACCTTGCAGGAGCTCACAAATTCCCGCAAACTGCACCATAGGGAACCAATAGTTATTAGTTGAATAGCCCTGTAGATGTTCTACTGTATTTTCCAGCAGAACATTTTGCACCGTAGTCTTGTTTTTAATCATTCACTTCAGTGGGAGCAAATTCCCTGCTGCACATTCACATATTACAGAGGGGTAACGTTCACAAAAGAAGAGCTTAGCAAAATACAAATGAGTGTTTCAGTTTGAGATATTGTAATATTATAGTTACACAGGAGGATCACATTTGATTTCACAGGGAAGTTAGACGTAATAAAGCCTTTCCCGTATCTCCTTGTCTGACTCTGTTTTAATAGTAATTTAGTTATTGAAAAATAGGGACTATGGCCAAATTAGCTGAAAATTTTCAAGCAGAAAATTTTGCCCTGGCTACGCCTACATGCCTGCTAGCAGAATAACCAGTTAGGTTTGCCAGAAGATGACAGTAGCTCTTTGAAACAGAGAAATAAGTTTGGGACAGACCTAAGGAAGGTAGGCGCAGTGACACAATTTCCGAATGCGTAGACCTTCTAGGGCATTAAGTTGTGTGTCCAAAACCAGTTTCCCTATACAGTGAATATAGGAAGAGAATTAAGGCATTTTAGAAAACTTATAAAAATTATCTACATGCTAGACAGGAGAGATAGGTTTAAAAAAAATGCTTAATGTGAGTTTGAACTCTGATCGATTTGCAGAACTTTGAAAAAGATGAACATAATAATTCAAGATACACAGTCACCAGATAAGAACAGGCATCTAGTTCTCTTAAAAATTACAGAAGAGAAAAGAAGGATGTGTATATTTAGCATTTTCTCATGCTTAACCACTTCATATAAAATCTCCTGAGGTAAGAACTGAAATAACCCTAAGAACCTGAATCCATCCATGAAAGAGATTCTTGGATGGATGCAGGCTCCGGGTTATTTCAGTTTCTAGGCTACAGTGTCATACTCTCATGCGAGTCTGGCTTATATTCTTTGGCGCACAGTGAGAACAGGGGGAATGAAGCAAATACCCTGCTGGTTCCTGCACTGACCAGGGATGCGGAAGAAGGTGTGGGTTTCAAAACTGAGAACACAGATCGCTTGCATCCTGGGCAAATAATCTGATCATCAGGCTATTTTATAAAAAGTAAATTGGTAGCAGAAGCAAAATAGCAGCAGTAGTGTTTTCAGATATTTCTCTTTAAAGTGATAATTTTACTGCTAAATTTACTACTGCTGTCTTTTGCACTAAGTGCCAGCTTGGGAAGGCTAGTGTACAGTTATTAATTTCCACCATCTATTTATTTCATAGTTTCTTTAAACTGTGTCTGATCTGACAAGTCTTCTTCCTGCATGTGACACTAAACAAATTAGACTGTTACTTAGAAACTACTCATCTTTTACTTACCACCATTCTGGGTTGCACAGCAAGACTCACAGTTACTTAAAAAGGACAAACTGTAGGTTGTACCTCTGCTATTAATAATCTTGTTTAGTAACACATTCTCCCCACCAATACTGATACTGTTGTTTGAGCATGGAAAGTGCTTAGAGAAAAATTCACGTATAGCTTTTTTCCCCAAATGATATTTTTATTTTTAACCAGCTCTTCTAATGGTTATTACAAGGTGACTCCAGCAGCTGGATTCACCCCGGTCATTTGTGTAATGAAGAAGTGTCTGAAAAATATTAAAGTGGAAATCTCTTCTATTTTTAAAGGATTTCTTTTACTAAATGATTTCTTAGCAACTAAAATAAACTATTTTCATATCTTAGAAAGGAAGCAAATGAAACTGCACATGTGAAATAAACCCTTCTACATTTTTGTGCTTTATGCCAGGGTAGCCTATAGGCATATGAGATCATTTTAATTTTATTCTGCTTGAATAAAATACAAAGAAATAGCAGCTAAATGCATATTTATTTTTGTGGTCTACCTCTTAAGAAAAAAATGTTTTTCTTTCATGTGTTATAGCTTGTTGTATGTCTCTCTTTTTAAATTTCACTTTTATCTCAGTGCATTCCTTTATTCATATATTACAGTTACAACTATCTGTGAAATTTAATATTCCTGGATTTTCAAACAATACTACCATGAAAATACTAATTCATTTATGAAAGAAGAAATATACTACAAAAAGCAACTCCTTACCAACAGAAAACTTCATTTTATTTTGATAATTACAGTCTCTTTAACTTTTAAAAAGAATGGCCTTTTCCCCCCCCCTCCATTTGATTTATGGGGGTTTTCTGGTCTTTCTAGACAATCACCTCTCTGTCTTCTGGCTTTTTCAAGGAAATTCACTCTGTATCATATCATGCTGCTACCTGAACAGTATAATTTCTTTCCTCCCAGTCTCTCTCAGATTGTATGCATGAAAACATCAGTAAGCAGGCCAATGGTAGATCCTCATTACAGGAAGGGGTATGCACTTTGCTGTTTTCCCACGACAGCACAGAGACGCCATAAGAAAGATAACAGAACTGAACAGTATTTCTTACCTGGCAGGGAAGCCAGTGTGTTTACCTGCATGAGAGAACTATGGACACACGAGGTCAACACCTGCTTTTGCC